GCATGGAGTTCACCAGAGCTTCACAGGTTACCCCTAGAGTCCTCTTCCACTTCTCCATGACAACATCATGGAGCTGATGGATGTTCGAGAGCTTATGCTCCTCCACCTTCTGTTTGAGGATGCCCCACAGATGCTCAATAGGGTTTAGGTCTGGAGACATGCTTGGCCAGTCCATCAACTTCACCCTCAGCTTCTTTACCAAGGCAGTGGTCGTCTTGGAGGTGTGTTTGGGGTCGTTATCATACTGGAATATTGCATACTGATCATGCTCTGCTTCAGTATGTCACAGTACATGTTGGCATTCATGGTTCCCTCAATGAACTGTAGCTCCCCAGTGCCGGCAGCACTCATGTAGCCCCAGACCATGACACTCCCACCACCATGCTTGACTGTAGGCAAGACACACTTGTCTTTGTACTCCTCACCTGGTTGCCGCTATACATACTTGACACCATCTGAACCAAATAAGTTTATCTTGGTCTCATCAGAGCACAGGACATGGTTCCAGTAATCCATGTCCTTAGACTGCTTGTCTTCAGCAAACTGTTTGCAGGATTTCTTGTGCATCATCTTAAGAAGAGGCTTCTTTCTGGGATGACAGCCAAGCAGACCAATTTGATGCAGTGTGCGGCATATGGTCTGAGCACTGACAGGCTGACCCCCCACCCCTTCAACCTCTGCAGCAATGCTGGCAGCACTCATACGTCTATTTCCCAAAGACAACCTCTGGATATGATGCTGAGCATGTGGACTCAACTTCTTTGGTCGACCATGCCGAGGCCTGTTCTGAGTGGAACCTGTCCTGTTAAACCGCTGTATGGTCTTGGCCACCATGCTCCAGTTCACTGTCAGGGTCTTGGCAATCTTCTTATAACCTAGGCAATCTTTATGTAGAGCAACAATGATTTTTTCAGATCCTCAGAGAGTTCTTTGCCATGACGTGCCATGTTGAACTTCCAGTGACCAGAATGAGGGAGTGTGAGAGCGATGACACCAAATTTAACACACCTGCTCCCCATTCACACCTGAGACCTTGTAACACTAACAAGTCACATGACACCGGGGAGGGAAAATAGCTAATTGGGCTTAATTTGGACATTTTCTATTAGGGTTGTACTCACTTTGGTTTCCAGCAGTTTAGACATTAATGGCTGTGTGTTGAGTTATTTTGAGGGGACAGCAAATTTACACTGTTACACAAGCTGTACACTCACTACTTTACATTGTAGCAACGTGTAATTTCTTCAGTGTTGTCACATGAAAAGATATAATCAAATATTTACAATAATGTGAGGGGTGTACTTACTTTTGTGAGATACTGTATATACATACATATATATACACATATATATATTTTATAAGGATGAATATGGCAAGAAGAGAAGGTGAAAAGAGCCACAGCACAGTACATCTCAGGATCAGACACTGGCACAAGATCATGCAGCTCCATAATCTGATCTTTTGTATGACGTTTAAATATTCAGCACGTTGAACAACCATTTAAAGACTTTTGCAGCTCAGTACCAGACACACCACCTCCTACGGGTTGACCCTTTGACCCAGGCTATGTCTTTATAATTCTATTCCAATATAATAAACACTTTATGTCAGAAAGCTGTTGTGTCAGTACTAGAAAAACGTCCATCAAGTCTCACATCAAAGTAATAATTGTCATAATCGTTATACTTTTACTAAAAATGTAAATTGTGCAAGAACATATGAGTTAATAAGAGTTCTATGAGTGCTGGGAGCTCAGCAACATCTCAGGTTAGTAAATGCTGCAGGCTGGTAACAGGGATATATTTAGCACCGACAAATGTGTCTGACTCTTGGTTTAGAGTCAGAGTGATGTAAGAGCTTCTCATCTTACAACACATGATGATGTTCTGAAATCATCAAATTGTTTTGCAGAATCACAGATATCTAACTGAGAACTGTGTCTGATTCTGCTCTCTCTAGGTGAATCCACTACCTACCTTCCTACCTTGACTCCCATTCTGACCATAAATCATCTGAACACACAGACCACCGACACCAAAGAGCCCATCACAGAAGTTACCATCGGGACAGACGTCATTCGGCCACCAGAAAGCATCACTAGTCCTAAGTCGTCAACAAATGCAACACAAGGTATAAATCTTTTACTCATCAGTCACAGGAAAAGTTTAAGAGTCCTCTTTTCTGTTTAGGCATAACCGAGTTTTCATTGGTATGTTCTCTAATCTTCCCCATGTTGATGAATTACTGGGAATTTGGCCACTGTGTCACCTCATGTTTATACGCAATTGAAGCAGGAAGTCATGGATAACTGTTTTAAATTTCCCTAAACACTTAGGTGAACATAAAAAGTACAATTATAATGTGCGGTTAGAGTGAATATAGCCTGCAGTTGGCCATAAAAGTAAGTGATTTACCTGGAATATTCTCAGGAGAATTTTCTAATTTTTGGTGTCTTGTGAAATGTTTTAAAGAGTGGATATATTTAAATTAATTTAACATCAACAGCCAGTTAAAGAAACACGCAGAATATGACCAGTGTTTAAGTGTCAAACAATTATAGGTGCAAGCCCATAAAAATCCCAAATAAAGTTACAAATAAATCCAGCTATGTAACATTTTGGTCAGGTCCTCTTCGCAAAAAGTGGGATTCTTTTTGCAAAATAAACATAACTGTGCAATTTTCCAGGACCTCCCAAATATTTCCAGGACATTGTATTCATTTTATTATCTCAATGACTGGAGAACCTTGCATCTCTTCATTGTGTCTCCCATAGTTTCATTATAGTTTCTTTCCCATCTCTTAATCATATTCAAAACTCATTCCTTGTTCCAAGTCTGTTCTCTTTTCTCCTCAATTTAGCTCTTATAGATATCACTCCATCAATCATTCCACTGAGGAGCACCACCATTACACCAGGATCATCCATCCCTTCATCTACCAATCTCAGCGAAGAACATCAAAACTCTTCTCAATCCACCACCTCTGAGACGATCCCAACAGTAGCTTTAGTTCCACCTTCTATTCCAGCTTCTACTCTAAAAGACTTGATCACTGGATCTGCTTCTTCAGGCAAAGAGAACCAGGATGGACCATCAGAACTAGACGTGGGAGATGAAGGTACATGGGTGGAGTCATAATCCCGGTGTAGTAGTTGAGTATTCCCTATTGCGTGCATCACACAACATGCTGTTTGTATTTCCACCAATTCAGACTCAGACAAAGTGCCTTCTCCTTCTCCGTTGGATCCTTTGCTTGCTGGCCTGATCTCCATCTTCATTATTAGCACCGCTCTGCTCTCCATCATGCTCTTCCTCAAATTTCGCCAACAAAGCAGCCATCCTGAATTCCACAGACTGCAAGACCTTCCCATGGTGAGCCTCCATTACAATGCTTTCACCAAATTATAGCAGTCCAATTAGTTGCTAAGAACATGTAGTAAGTTAAGGTAAGATGAGTGGAGAAGATGTTCTCTGCAGTTTACACTTACAATTTCAGAATTCGAATTTCAGAAGTTCTTACACAGAGGCGCTTTGTAGTCTCCATAAAAAATATATCCTCACACTAGCACAAATAGGCCAAGATTTAAGAATACCCTGCTGGAGAGGAGTTACTGTGGGAACTAGTGCATGTATAAAAACAGTACATGTCAAGATGTTTTGAGTGCTTATTAGAGGTGGGTCTCCACGCTTTGTCCCAAGATGGCCTTGAGGAGTTAATTCCTCCATCTTGGTGCCAGTACATAGAAGAGACTTAATCCATCTTTGTATGTTGAGGGATGGGGGGGTCAAGTCAATTCGTGCTTGTGACTGGATGATTTGATGAATATCAGCTATGATGGGCCTGCTCTGTGTATGACTTTGTAGACAAACATTATTGTTTTAAAAAAAAAATCTGATGCCAACCACTACAGGAAACCAGAGGAGGGAATACAGCAGTGGGATAATGTGGGAGAACTTGGCGAGGTCTAAAACAAAGCATGTGGCGACATTCTGTATCATTTGCAGAGGTTGTCTGATGGTGTGCTGGGAAATATTCTCGAGGAACGATTTGCAGTAGTCCCGTCTTGAGACTGAACAAGAATTGAGTGCCCCTATGGTAACAAATAACCAGATCCTCCTGGTTTTCTTCTAAAGGAGATACATACAAGACTGAGTCTTGTCAGAAACAAAAGCAGATAATGATGGCCGTATAGAGCCACAGCAATGTTTTGTGTTGAATGGTCTGATTAGGGAGTTCTCTAGAGAGGCGGCACGATTAAGTTCTTCATCAGTTCTGCTGAATGGTTGGAAATAGATGTTTTTAAGAAAAATATTGGTAGTTTATTTATTTGCACTTTCATTATCCTAGGCAATACATGTTTATGTGAAATTCACAGCTTTCACCTCGGATAAAATGTTTACTAATACATTACCAAATTGGCATTACTAAGTATAGTATAAGTACAGCTTTTAAAAAATAAATAAATAAATAAATATATATTTTTACAGTCTTTGATATTATTTCCCACAGGATGATCTCTTGGAGGATACGCCGTTGTCAAGATATTCATATTAAAGTGGTTCCTGTGGTTCCTAAGACCAGACTGCTAAAAATGCTTATGGTGAGATATCATAGGAACCAAACCAGCTAGAGTTGTTTGGGATAAAATTTATTGGTGTTCTCAACGTTTTTACTCTTACAGTGACTGATATTATATGTAGGATGTAAGACTGAACAAAATGTCACTTCTAACTGAATGGCAAATTCATTTTCCTTTTTTATTTAAGTGACTCTGTAGTCCTGAAACTTGATACCATTTATATAATTTTTGCTATGGCTAGGAGGATGTCATCTTCTAGTCTAGTTCTTCTTGATGCTTAAAATGAATCAGTTTTCCTGGAGTGAAACCTCTCATATCATAAGATTGCCAGTGCACTGCTGGATCTGATCCATTTGTATCAGGACCATACTCACTACCGTGTCAGCTTCACTGTTGTCCCGATAATGAACCAAGTGCTTGGTAGTGGTAGCTCAGTGGTTAAGCTGTTGGACTACTAATCAGAAGGTTGTAAGCTCAAATCCTAACACCACTACACCGCCACTGCTGGATCCTTGAGCCAGGCCCTTAGCATTCAATTGCTTAGTTGTCTAACGAGATGAATGTATGTTGCTCTGGATAAGGACATCTGCCAAATGCCGTAAATGTAAACGAACCACTACCCAATTAATATCTTATCTATTGATGGATACAGTGAACGAGGGCTAGTATTTTCGGCTACAACTGCACTGCCATAATCAAAACACTGAGGGAATATCTTTTGGAAGAATGGCACACCATCCTTTCAGTAGCCAATGAATACGGTTAGAGAGATTTGTAGAATCGATCCCTAGCTGCTCGTGGTGGCCCGACACTTTACTAAAATATGTCTGTTAAATAATGTTGTTGGAGGAAATCTATAGTAATTATGATCATTTTGTTTGTTTGTTCTCTTCAGATCTGAACAATAGATTACTCTAAAGTCGGTAACTAGACCATATTGATAGCAAAAGTGTTGGTACATAACTAGTACTTTGTAAATAAAGTTCAATTAATATCAGTTGTAGCAGTGAATTATGTTTCTAGGTTTTTATTTCAAAAATTTTTTGTTGTAATGTAACATGTTTTTCTGCCTTGCTGTTCGTACCTATTACTTTGTGCCAAATATATTTATTATTATTGTTCTGTTTTGTATGGGTGAGTATTCTAAAGAGTCCCAGGAACACTTTACTGGTGCGTGTAAAAGTTTACACCCCCATAGTTGTTTTTAAAAAATGGAATAAAGGAAAATGCACTTCAATATAACAAATCAGTTACAAAAAAAAAAGAATGAAAAAAAATTGGAAACAATCCAAAAAGTATGGCCAAATTTACTGGAAATTTGCCATAGGTTATTTTGGGATTATTGTTTTTGTCCCTATTGATATATTAACATATATGTACACATTTTTGTTGCTTGTAAATATTGTTGGAGTTTTTTCCCAATACTTTGTTGAGGTAAATGGACAATGAATGATACAGTAGTTCATATTAATGTCATGCAAATTAGAAAATGTCATAAAAGTTGATTTAAACATTCAGAAATACCTTATGTGTTCGAGCAAGATGTTATGAATGTCTTATGAATACGCCCATCATATCAAGGGACTTAGCGCAGTTCTGCTGGTGTTTGAAATTTTACTGGTGTCATTTTGTAAATATTTTATTGATATTATTTATTTATCAACAGCCAAAATAAAATATTTCATTCTCCACAGCCAACCAAACTCTTTAATGCCTTCAACATAATAAAACAGACATGTTCTTAACCCATGTCGAGCTTATTTGTGCTGTTGTAATTGATTTTATCGATAAATCAGTTGAAAACAATCACGTTGTTAAATATTTCACAAATACTAAAATGCTGATTTCAGACATCATAAAATTAAACGTAAAAAAAAACAAAAACACAGTAATGACAGCATCAAAGTACATGACTCATTAAATTAAAACTGTGAAAAAACCTCATAAAATGTTTTTTTTTAAACAAGGTATACAAATATCATAATAAATCATTCAACAATGATAACATTTCAAAAGTTTCTTAACCAACATTCAATAAAAACGTTTTAAAGTGATGAGATTATTAAGCAGAACTCGATTTCAATAATTAAATACATTCAGGGTTAACAACATATCATTATATAATGTCTTCCTTTTAAAGTCCATAACTTAGTGTTTGAAATGTTAAAACAATTCTTCATGAACTTTAACAACCTACGTTTCAACTCATTTTTTAAAAAAAGAAAAGAAAAAAGACTGGCCTGAAAATGAAAAAGCAGTCACACCAGTGGTGTCTCGATCAGACGGGGCTGCTGGATCACAGAGATGATGATGTCACCGTACGGCTCGTCCTGTCGCGCAACGACCTCTTTCATGTCAATCCTCTCTGATAACACGCAAGTTTGATCAAAATTAACCGCAAACATTAATCAACTTTTTAAATATCGTGTCACTGTAATAGACAGGAGTGAAAGAGAGAGAGAGAGATAGGGTATACACTCTTATTACCCAGCAGCCTCCAGAAAGCCTGAGCGATGGTTCTGCGCCTGACTCTAGGGGGCAGTAGGGAGTGAAACGTCACTTCATCCTCACCAATAGCAGCCATTCGACTGAAAACACAACACACAGAAGAGTGTACAAGTCACTGAAAATACCATTAACTATTAACTGTAATACTGAAAATAACACAAACTACTAATGCTTAAACTGTAAGTAACACAAACTACTGACTCTTAAAATGAAAGTAACAAACTAATGACTCTTAAAATGAAAGTAACAAACTAATGACTCTAAATCTGAAAATAACACACTACTGGCTAATACTGAAATAACAAACTACTGACTATTAAACCGGAAAGAACACAAACAACTTTCTGTATAACTGAAAATACCATTAACTACAGACTTTAATACTGAAAATAGCATAATTTACTGTCTCTGAAACAGAAAGTACTGACTATAAAGCTAAAAAGAACACAAACTACTGAACATGAAACAAATTAACACAAACTACTAACTCTAAAACTGAGATGAACATAAACCACTTACTATAAAACTAAAAAATAACACAAGCTACTGACTGGAAATAACACTAACAACTTTCTGAACAAGTCACAGTTTTTTTCTGTAACAAATAAAAAATATACTGGGCAATGTTGCTTTTTTATTAGTATGCACTACCTGAGAGGATCAACATCCATCATGACATCCTCCAATTCAGGGACCCTCTCCTCGGGAATGTCCTCCAAACCGCACACGGACACGGGAACAGGAGACCTACAGTCAAAAAGATTTTTAAAAAATTCACCAAAAACCTAGACGGTCAGTAAAATGTGCATGTGCATTGGGGAGAACTGCAAATAAATGTGCTACATTTACTATGTGCTACATTTACATAAAAACTGTTAAAATGTGCTACATTATAATCTCTCGCTTCTCACCGAAGAGTCTCGGGAGTCTCCACAGGCGGGATATCTTTGTCTGTTACCTCCATCACCAGAGAAGAAACTGTAAATTAGAAATATATCTGAATATTCAGCTCAGACAACAGACATCGGGCAATGCCGCATGTTCAAATTGTGAAATCAAAACAGTTCTAGATAATGGACTCAGAGTTTCCACCGCAACGTGTGTCTTCTGTATGTCTAAAGTGTGAGAGTGCCAATATCTGACCTGGTGTATCGTATCGTGAGACGCCTGACTCCACTATCTCTGTGGGCATCTGCAAAGTTAAGGGCAGAAGCAAAATAACAGAAGTAGAGCTTTTACACAATAAAATATGAAATACTGCATGACTGTTGAGTCAGTGTAGACTTTGTCATTCTGTCATTATTCATCAGTGATTAACTACTGACTGAAATACTGAAAATACCACAAACTACTAATGCATAAATTGTATGTTAACACAAACTACTGACTTTGAACCTAATAATATCACCACAAACTACTGACTCTAAAACTGAAGTTAACGTAACCCACTTAAAAACTAATCTGTAAAACTAAAAAATACCACAAGCTACAGTTAAACAGAAAGGAACACAGAGTACTGACTGTTGAGCTAAAAAAAAAAAAAAAAAAACCTACTGACTGACAGTGAAAGCCTGTTTTGGATTTATGTTCTTAAAGAATGATTAAATCGTGTGTTAGTCTTTTGGTATATAATGAAATAGTAACAGTTTTTTGGTAATGGACTTTTGGAATCACCCCCCTCTGCCTCCTTTATAGACTCTCTAACCTCTCTGAGCTCTCCCTCTTCTTGCTCCTCTCTTCCTCTCTCCCTTTCTCGTATGGCCTCCAGATCCTCGTCTTCAACCTCTCTGTGGCGTTTGGATGGACGGATATGATGGATGACTGCGCCCTGCTTCCACAACTCCAGAATATCACCGGGAAGGCCTGGGTGAAGACGACAAAAACTTCAGCATTAGCAAGATCATAGACTATAAGCCTCAAGATAAAAATGAATTACAGTAAAACTGAAAATAAGACCACTGACATAAAACTGAAAATGGGAATGCTGAAAGTAACATTGAACACGAAATGGAAACTACTGAAATTAAAAATAATGGTAAAACTGATAACAAAAAAACAACTACAACAAAAAAACAACTACAAATTATTGACAGTTCACCTGAAGGTACTGACAGTAGAACTGAAAAAGAAACCCCACAAAATACTGACAGTGAAACTGAAGAAGGCATTAGCCTTGAATTGAAAGTACTGACCAAAAATACGCTAATTACTTGACAGTGAAATGAAATAACAGTAAAACTAAAAAACACTACTTACTGACAGTATATTTGAAAGTATTGACAGAACAATTGAAAATAAAAAAACCCATAAACTACTGACAACAATGCTGAAAATACTAACAGTACAACTAAAAAGTCCCACAAACTACTGACAATGAAACATACTTATAGTAAAACTGGAAAAGAACAAAGTACTGACAGAAAAACTGAAAAAAGAAAAACACTACAAAATACTGACAGTTCACCTGAAACTACTGACAGTTAAACTGAAGAAAAGTACAACACAAAAAACCCTGAATTACTGAGACTGGAATTGAAAGTACTGACAAAAATATTAACTAATTACTGACAGTGAAATTAAAAGAAATAACAGTAAAACAAACAAAACAGTAATATCTGAAAATGGTGACAGAAAAACTGGAAAATAAATAAACCATAAACTACTGACAATGAAACTGAAAATAACCCCACAAAATACAAACGATGAAATCGGACATACTGACAATTAACCCGAAAAATATCCCAACCTACTGACAGTGAAATCAAAAATATTTACAGAAAAATAGTATTTAAAAAAAGCAAGTTACTGCAAGTACGATTGAATCTACTGACAGAAAAAAAAACCCAGCATCTACTTACCGAGAAAAGAAAACTGAACAAAGACCCATGAAATATGGACAGTGCAATTGAAAGTACTGAGTATAAAACCTGTGAACTACTAAAAGTGAAATGAAAAATAATTCTGTAGTAATTGCAGAAATCTGCATT